ATTGCATTTTAGTGATGCGCTAATTTTAATTCAAAGCCATCGAAACATTTGCGACGATAAAGAGTGCTACGTACCTCAGGATGAGAAAAAATTAAGTTTGAAAAAAACCTGGCTGAAGGGTAAAAATCTATTTCATTCCTTTGTTTTTAGTTATTTGGTAAACTATTTATCTTCACCAAGTATTGATTAATTTATTCATTATTAACAATTTTTTGCTATGGCAATATGAAGATGAGATGCTGTTTGCTGTTCGACCAGTAGTTTTATGTTTTGTTGAGGTTTCTTAACACGTACAATCAAAGTGACTTCATCCGTGTTATACAGTGGAATCCCGATTTCTCGAGCCTCCAGGAGAAAACGCAAATTGGTTCGAGTAATCGGGGGATCGAGAAATCAGGGGTTCGAGAAATCGGGGGTGAAATTACAAGTGAAGCAAATCCATGGGAAACAAGGTTTGGTTCGAAACATCGGGAGGTTCGAGAAACCGAGGGTTCGAGAAATCGGGATTCCACTGTACGAGCAAAAAAGATGTCGCGCAAGAAAAAAAATTGAGAATGGAAAACATTAAAACATTAGAGTGCGTGTTAAAATCAAGTCGAATACTAAGTATATGCAAAGAAGTCCAACACTACATGTTACAAGGTTTACTAACATGTCCCGTATATTGTAGGTTAATATAAGTTAAACAGAACAAATTAACCATTTTTATTAGCTTATGATTAAAATTATGTGAAAGACTCGCTGCTTTCAATATCAGCTTGCTGCTTAAACATACGATTGGGTAAAACTATTTATTTTTCATCAAAATAAGGTAATTGCATCTTGCCAAGAGCTTAAACAGCACTAAAAGCTGATGAATCTGAAGAGCTAGCTTACTATCGATTATATAAGTATCACACAAACGAATACTGTTTTTTGCGGATGATGATTGTCTCGTGAATAGCCGCAAGTACTATTCAACTAACCTTCTATAAATAGCTGTTACCTCCTTGTGGAGGATGTTGACAAATATCTAGCACCTCTTATTCTCAGCCTGCTTGATCCAGTTAATTAAGCTGAGCGTTTTTTCAGTTCAAATTCTATAGGAAAATTTGGGAAAATTCATCACCTGACGAGGAAATTCGGGGTTAAATTGCACGCGAAAA